GCTTTATGTTCAGTCATAAAATGTCCCCTATGTTGGTTTGAAAATGACAGCCATTTGTTTTTATTATTTCAACTGGAAGCATTTTAATGAAGAGAATGGCAGACTGCCCTGCATTGTGCCTCCAGAGTCCACAGCTACAAGCCTCTTTTGCACGCTCAGCATGACTCCTAGATATCATAGCAGATAGCAGATATAATTTACTGGGAGCATTCCTGAACTCTTCTCCTTTCTACTCCTCCTCTAAGTCCTCTCACAGGAGAATTTATACCTTCACAATGATGAAGAAGTTTCAATAAAGGGTAAGATCAAAAATGAATGTTAAGGGGACTTTAGTATAAATGGTGTAATTAAAGTACTCTATATTTGATACCAATATCTGCAGAAATGAAACAGAAAGAGGGTGGCGACTATTGGTTGGCCACGTGGTTTTAAAATCGCTATTAGCATTTCCAACCCCAGCCCTATCTTTGTGAAGGGAAAGAAAATAAAGTCCAACGCGAAAAGAATGTCAAATGTCTGGAGCTAAAAAAGGCTTTCTGATTAGTGATAACAAGGGTTTACTTAGGCAACTTACTGAAAGAAAAATCCCAAGGGTGTTGATGTTTTCTCCTATGTTAACAAGAAGGGGAAATTCTGCAATTTATTTTTTATTTTCTAAATCTTTGCAGTGGGGGCAGAGTGGGGTTAATATCATCCTGTTGCTGTTGTTATTGTTGTTTTGGTAAAACATAGAAAAGCAGCTTTCTTTAGTTAGTAAATTCTGTCCCATAGTGACTATAATTTTATAGCACAAATTACATCAGAAAGACTGATTTTGTACAGCTGTCTTTAGCTCTCATTTAAAATTGACATACACTTAGTGCATAGAATTTTAGGCTTACACAAAGTGTGAATGTTTCATTTTATACAGCATTAGTACATAGTAACAAGGATGGGTAACTTTGGTAGGTTTCCTGCTTAATATGTCTCTTTGCCTTTCCGGTTCTCATACTTACGGTTGTTTAGGCGTAATATCCGGTGTTCACAGTAGTTCAGTGTCCATGAGTAGAAATCAAAGATAAAGCTTTAGATATGAATTTTAGTGTCTTTGCACTTAGTAGAATATCAGCTCAGTTAACCATTTTTAGAAAAAAATAAATTATCTTTTTCTCTCATTAATTTGAAGCATGCTGTATCCTACTTCTTTCATTGATGCTTTTCAACAAATGGGTTTTATTCTTTTTCTGTTTTTGCTAGACAGATATCATATATAAGGTTAAATGTGATTTCTTAGTAATGTAACATAAATACACAAATATTAAAACTGATTAGTAATGGTTTCTTAATTTTGCTGACAGCTTAAGGCATGGGATGTTTAATGCAGCTAATAAATATAAGCAGGTTACTGTCTGAAAGGCTACAGCTAACTGTACATTGTAAGTAGTGTATAAAACATTGAGGACTGTTGGGATATAAACAATGCTGAGGCATGTTCCTGGAAGTCGTTGTTCAGCTTTGGAAGGTTTAGTATTAATGATGCATTAATTGACTTTTTACATGACAGTAATAGGATACTTACTCTAAAAAAAAAATCTTGACAGAGGTTTGGTAGACAATGGCAGGTGGTTATAGAAACAAGGTTAGGATGAAATACTTTGAATCCCCTTATTTGAAGGATAAGAAAAGAAATAGTCACTTGTAGTTTGAGTAAAAATGTTCTGTTTCAGTTTTTATTAAGCAATGAACTGTTACTTAGCATTATGTGGGGTTTCATCTGTGCCTTTACACTCCCAATTTTCCCCTGAAGTTCTTGGGAAGAGTTTTTCTAAAAATCTAAGGACAAACTGGTTTTCAATATGGGAAGTCACTTAATCTTTTCTGTTTGTTGAAAGAAAGTTTAATAGCCCTTTTCTGGTTTTGTTCCTTGTTTTTGTTCTTGTTTTGCATTGTGAGACACTTATACTGAGCTTCATTTTGCAGGTAGTTATATAGAGTCTGTTGGCTACATCTATGCCAGTGAGTGTCTTGTGGCTCCAGTTTGATTTAGGAGCAATGTTTTCTTGGGATTAGTTTCACCATGTTTGATTATTTATTCATTCTATCCTTAGCTGATTATGGTCTGCTAAGTATTTCAGTTTTCATTAAATTTTTTAATGGAAGGTTGTTTTTAATTTGGATCACAGCAGTAAAATCTTTTGACTGTTTTCAAACTTGCATTTAAAGCTTGAACTTTAGAAAATAATTTTATTTGATGTGAAAGTGATTTGATGTAGATAGCAGAATGAGAAAAATAAATTTTATATTCTTTTACTCATTGCACAGACAGATGGATGGACTTAAGGCTTTATTTGGGTGAAAGAAGCCATGATTTTATTACATTCCAGAATCTCTTTCTGTTTGTTAGAAACAGTCATTTATACTAAGTCTCATAGTTGACTAGAGCGTATAGTTAAAATCAGTTCATAAAATATTCTATCCTGGCCAGAGACCACAAAAGAGATCTGGGTTGTGTGGTTTCCTCCTCCTTTTCCCTTCACTAACAGAGGTTTTCCTATCTTGGCAGCTGTTTCTTACAAGGCAGTCGCCAGTCCCTGATTTCTTCCTTCTCTTTCTTCCCACAAACAAGGACTCTTTCAAATAGCGGATGACCAAAGACAGACCGATCTTGGATCGCTTTAAGAAAGTGGAAATGTGTTCAAGGGTTGTGCATGTGGGCACGCAGCCTGTATGCATTAGTTCATTGAAAGGAAAGTACCCATTACAACCAAAACCTGGGTAGTCAGGATTCTTTGCTTAAATCGGGAGCATTCCAAAGGCTGACTTAATTACTACAAGTAAAATTAATGCACCTCTTCCACACATTAAAATTATTCTAATTGCTTGAGCCAATCATTGACCAGTCTGTGGGAAGTAAGAAATTGTTCACTGATTAGCCCTTTTGATATGACAGGCCATGAAATTATCTGACTTCTCTCTGTGCTTTATAAAAAATAGCTTGCAGTTTTAAGGCAGGTACTTTGCACAGCAGTTGTAAATGGAAGGTTTACTTTTGATTTTGTCTTTTGAATAGTCTTTGGGAGCTCAGAGTGAAAAATGAATAGAGAGGCAGCCAGTTTTTCAGGGTTGTGTGCCATGTGTCTCCTCCGTCAGATTAATTTTTGATGTATCATTCTTCTTTTTATATTTTTGGCATGCAGAGGAGGAAGCTTGCTTTTCCCTTTGTTTTTGTTTTATTTCTAAGAACATCTGAGGTGTTCTTAGAACTTGGTAATGCCAGTTCTGATTCCCTCATTATGATACGTAATTGTCACAGGTTTCAGAGGGAGCTAAAAAAACTGGGCTGATTATGGATCATGGAGGTGTATATGGAAGCAGTTTTATCTCAGAAACTATAGGCATGATAAAATAAGCTTCTTATGACAAAAATATCTTGCTAGTTCCTTTTGTAGTTTTATGGGCCTTCATATTTAAACACTAGATAATGACTTCAGATTAATTTTTTACCTTCTTTCTGTGTGTTGGTGAAGCAAGATAGTGACTTTGTAGCATAAGTGTCCCACACCATTTAGCATCTGACCCCTTTTCCATTGAAGTTACATTGTAGGGAAGTGATAGCAGAATACAGTGACCTGCTAATAGAATCACATATGATGCATTAAGAATGTAGCAAATGCAGAGTAGCTCAGATAATGTGAAATAGAGAACTCCAAAGTTATCTAGGGAAATTTGGTTTTCTAAATTTTCTTTATGCTTTAGTGATAGCATCTAAATTATGTAAGAGTTCATTTGATTTGCGTTATAGACACAACCTCATGTAACTTTCAGTGCTCCACTTAAAAAAAACTCTTTATTTGCACCAGGTTAAGGATAGCATGGGAAAACTTTAAAGGAAGAATTTGTAATTTCTTTACCCTCAGAAGCTAGATCAGGAGGCTGTATATATTTTGGAACTGCCTTCATAGTATGTGTGTATTGTAAGGCTGGTATTTACTCTTTGATTCCTCATGCTACCCCAGAAAGCAGTAAAACACTTCAGTAGAACCCAGCAAATAACCTGGTTTCACGTGATCCTGGGAACTTAGAAATGCTGATTAAATCACTTCTGAAGTTTTTGTATCCTCTGCATTTGAAGAACTGTGTCCTTAAGGGCTAGTCAGAATTAAACTTGGCTCTTGGTTTTTATATTCTTTGCCACCCCTCCCTTGGTTTTTTAAAAAATAGTGATGCAACCTTGGAGATATAATCATCATGGTCTGCGGTTTTATTTTCGTCCAGTGGATGGACTAAACTACTCAAGGATATGGGTTTGATCTTACTAAGTTTTGCTGTAAGAAAAACTGATACATGAAAATCTAAAAGTTTAAAACGAAATAGTAAAGAGCAATCATTTTATTAAACTGCTCCCTTTATGAATAACTAGTAGCCAGATAATAGTTTGCTATGTGGTGTTTGGAATGCCATTATGATATAAAGTACAACCGTATATTAAAAATTGTACACCCTTGAATAGAAAAATAAACTGTTTCATTATATCTGTAATGTACTTTGCAAGGTAACAGGATAAAAGAGTAGATAATACTGCTGTTACCATCACTAGAAACAAAGAAAGTGTATGTATTTATGAAATTTTGTTGGAGGTATTATGTACCAAAGCTAGTACTTTGATAAAATGACTAATACGTGGCATTGAAAGGCAGATATATTATTCTAGAATAACTTTTTAATCTTTTCAAAGAAAAATTTATCTTTGGAAATTATATAACTATTATGTGAATTCATATGTTCTGATTACCTTTAAGTTTGGGAGGCTTTGATTGTTTCCAGAATGCAAAGCTCAGATATCCAGTGTATAGGAGCAACTTCCTGTTGCATACAGAATCAAAATATATGCCCTTTTTTTTATACTTAGGAGAAGGAGGGAGGAAAGGAGGGAAAGAGAGGAGTTGTTGTTGTTATTATTTTTTCATCTTTTGTGACATTGCAGGACCATAGAGTAAATGATGGATTTGTTTGTTTTTCAGATATGAGGATCAATGATGAAGACTGCTGGGTTCGATGAAGCTGGACATTTATAACTAGATTCATTAAGGAATACAAAGAAAATATTTAAAGGGATCAATAATGGTGTCTTCTGGTTGCAGAATGCGAAGCCTGTGGTTTATCATTATAATCAGCTTCTTACCGAATACAGAAGGTAAGGTAACAGTTTAAATTTTATTTTTTAAGTTCAGGAGAACTTAAACTATGCAATCTTTTGTTTAATGTAGAAGTGGCTCGAATGAATATTTTTTATTATTTTAGAATTAAGTGTTAAAAAGATTTCCTGAATGTCATATTCTTTTTCTGGTGGTTGAATTATTTTCATTACACAGCTATATATTATAGAAAGTGATAGAAATCTGAATTTATATTTTACATACATTTATAAATATAATCATTGTAAATAATCCTGAGAGAACTAAATGAAAGCTTTGCTTTGGTATATATGTTACATTTGTTGACTGAATTTATGCCAGTAAAATTGAAAATATTTTGTGGCAACTCTTTGATTTCATCTTTAGTTTTGTGTGCTACTTAAGTGTGGTCATTGTTCTAATACTTCTAAATAAATTCTTTTTGTATTTTCTGGAAAAAGTTATTTTTTGTAGTGCTTCCTTTCTAATGTTATCTTTATTGAAAACAGACCTGATTTTTAAAGAAGTAAAGACACTTTAGAGGGTTAATGAAATAGTTGAAACCATAATTACTATATGGATTTTCTGGTATCCGTTATTTCTTTAGTCTTACATGTTATTTCCATGTGAAAATAACACCCTTCCAGGTGCTTTTTACAGAGCAGGTCAGAAGTTAATGTGGGGCTAAGATGTGTTAATTTTATAGCTAGTTGGTAGTGGCAGTCATTGTATTCAGCATGAAATTATATTAAACTTGTAAAATCTGTGAAAGAATGCAAAATCTCAGAGAAATGCATGTAAAATATAATGAATTTTTTGGTCACAATTAAATATTCTTGAAGAAAATGTCTTGGAATTTTTAAATTGGCTATATATGTACTTTTAAATGATCCCATTTATACCTGTTAATAAAATCGGAGATGGAAAAAAAGGCATACTGTCAACTAATAGATAGAAGCTTATTATTCTAATGTCTTTGTAATAAGCTTCAAAATGTTAACATTTTTCCGAAAGAATTCCGTGTGAATTGCTTGTTCCAAAATTATGTTTCATCACTTCTCCTTGCTGTCCCAGTCCCCTACTTTCAATATATTGACATAACTTAATAATATAATTCAGATAAATAACAAGTTGAGAAAAATTTTAACATAAGAACTTCTGTATTCAGAAAGTAAATAATGCTCACTTGGATTTGTCACACATGAAAGTTACAAATGGGTTAATATTTTATTTTCAGAAGATATTGCTCTTTGCATCAGAATTGAAAGATACATCAAATCTGACATTAAAATGTAATGTCTGAATGAATAGTACTGTAACGATAAACAACGAGCAGAAACTGAGTTAATAATATGAATCTCTGGCTTGGATTGTTATGAAAATCTTGTGTATAGTCTATAATTTTGCATCTGTTTTTTTAGAGGGAAAAACTAACTGAATTCCTGCTGTTATGTTTGAATGTTTTTATACATTTAAAAAGATTCCAGGTGTAGATCAATGGCTCATTAGTCCACATAATAAAAAGTTTTCCAATCAAGATAGAGACTACTTTGCTGGCACAGTAGCTTAACTCAGCAGGGGGCTAGCAAACCAGAGACTTTCATGAGATACTGCAGTTTTATTTCTAGTGTCACCTATCAGGTCAGGATGCATATCTGTTGTTAAGGGAAATTTCATTTTTGGCGCATCAGGCCAGGGGGTGTTGCTTTTGAAGCAGTTCCCTCCTCCAGGTAAAAAGAACCTAGGACAAACCCACACTACTAACTGTGAGGGTATACAGAGTTACTGTGCACTTCACTGTTAGAACATTGATCCAGCGTCACATGGTTTTGTCTTAGAAAAGTTTTACGCGACATGATAGTCCTTTATTGCCAGCAAGCAGATAATGCTTTGTGAACACCTATAGAGAAAACCAATCAAAGTGGGGTATGAGAGCACAGGAAAGAAGATATAAATTTAATTATTCAGCCATTAAGTTTCTTCAGGGCCCTTACATGATTGTTACTTTTTCAAATCTTATAGCTATGAGCACTTTTTTTATCAGCTCCTGGATATTTGCCGGTAAGCTCAGATAAGGTTTTCTAGATGGTTTCCTCCCTCCTTCCTCATTTATTGAGTGACTAAATTGAGCCAGGTGCTTGGGGTTCAAAAATGCACAAGGCACAGGTCCTGCTCTTCAGGAGCTTGTGGTCTTGTGCAGGGGTCAAAACCTCAAACACCTACCTATTTGGCCAAGCAGACAAAGTAACTTGAGTGCGGCAGGCCAGTGGAGGTCTGCAGCAAGCAGGAAAGTGCTTGCTGGAGGAACCATGGTTGCCTTTCCAGTGTTTAGCCCGGTTTTGCCAGTCTTCTCAATAGAAACCAGTCGATAGATTTTTAAGTAGTAGCAACTAAGTAAGATTTTGTTTTTAAACAAAACAAGCCTGTGTACTGTATTCAGCCATGGACCGTGCCTTCCTTTTCAGAGCTTTCTTTTCTCCTGTTTACAGTAGTGTTTTACATTAGTGTATGATTTTAAAGGCTTAACATAATTTTGGATTTGTTTTACATCTGTATATATGAGAGGTAAATTTCCATATATGCAAGGAGGAATTATGTATTTGTTCTAAGTCCAGGCAAACATTATAAATACGTCATGTTTTGTGTGCATGTTAAAGAGCAAATCACTAAACATTTTTTTTTTAAGTTTTACCATGGTAAAAGCTAATTATATAAAGGTTTAATTGTTAGAATTAGCTTATCTTCTCCATTTCTGTCAATTAGTGTTTAAGAATAAAGTCTTACCCGTTAAAATTTACTGGTTTTTGCAAAGTAGGAACAGTGTTTTATTTATTCTTAAAGTCTCTCCTGTGTTTTTTTGAAAATTATGTTTAGAATTTTCAAATAAAAAATGATTATAAAAGACCAAACTTACACAATATTTTGTAAGTTTTTTTAGAATTTATTTTACTCTTTTTTTTTTTTTTTTTGGGGGGGGGGGAGTACGTGGGCCTCTCACTGTTGTGGCCTCTCCCGTTGCGGAGCACAGGCTCCGGACGCGCAGGCTCAGTGGCCATGGCTCACGGGCCCAGCCGCTCCGCGGCATGTGGGATCTTCCCGGACCGGGGCATGAACCCATGTCCCCTGCATCGGCAGGCGGACTCTCAACCACTGAGCCACCAGGGAAGCCCTATTTTACTCTTAGAGGACTAAATCTAGCCCTTTAAAAATCAGTTTTGTTGAGAAACTGGGGTGCTTTGATTCTTTTGGCCAATTTTTACAATCAAGTAACCCACTGTGGAAATATGTATCAGTAAGTAGGAAAGTAAATTGAATTTTTGTGTCCTAGAGAATTAAATTATGCTGTATAATGGAGCCCTGGCCAGCATAAGTCAGATATACGAAGGCTTGCTCAAGTGACAAGTTACAAATAATAGCAGTTCTTCAGCGAAGTAGGTAATACGGATTTCAGGTTGAATTCTTTATGCAGTGAGTATGTAATTAGATTTCATTAGTCGAAATTTTAGTTAATTAACTTGAATTACATTGTTGCTTATCCTTATTTCAAAGAAAATATTATGCCAGGTAAAAATGCCACATAGATACAGCTTTACATATTTATTTATATACATAAAGAAAATTTAAGAACATAGCTGTAGAAATAGTATCTTAGCAGTTTTTACTGTACTTTTAAATTCTCTAAGCACATTTTACAATGATTTTTGTGTTAATTATGTCTTAGTAAAAAATGATGTTTGGCTGTAGGGTCTTTTTGCTAGTTGAGTGGCAGGAAAATAGTAGATCTAGGGGTCACTTATGAATTTAAAAAACCTGTTTTGGCTTATAAATATTTTTTTCAGAATGGTCTATAATTTAGTGGAAGGAATAGTAACTTCGTTCTCCAAGGTTAAACTTAAGAAAGATTAGAATAATTCAGACCTATATTTATTCTTTTTATCTTTTATTCTTTTATTGATGCATACATGTAATAAAATGTACAGAATTTATATTTACACACACACACACACACATACACAGAATGTCACCTTCACAAGGGCAGGGATCTTTTTTGTTGTTCATCAACATGCAAATGCCTAGAACAATGCCTGGCTTATGGTAAGCACTTATTCTGTATCCGTCACTGAATAGCATAAATCTTTGAAGAGGGTCGTGGTCTTAATAGTTGGTAGAGGGACAATAAACAGTTGTAATAACAGGGTGATAAGTGCCATGATGGTGATACTCCAGAAGCATTGGGTGTGTGTCAAGAAATGCTTCCAGCCTGAAGTGATGATGATTCTTGAGCTGAATCTCAGTATGAGCTGCACAAGCTAGGTAAAGGCAGTGGTGAGCATGGTGGTGGAGAAAAAACCAACCGAGAGAGAACAGCATGGATGTGAAATAAAGTATTGCAGTAGTTCTCAAACTGGAGCATAAGAATCACCTAGAAGGTCTGGGGTGGGGCCCAAGCATTTGCATTTCTGAAAATTTTCTGGGATGAGGCTCATGTTGCTCAGCATCACACTTAAGAACCACTGTAATCTGGTGTGTGGGTAGTTGGGGTGAGGTATATGGTTGCATGGCTGTTGCTATAAAGTAACTTTTTAAAAGTTTTTCCAGAAAAAATTATGATTTAATTCACTGTGATTCAGAAGTTGTCACCAGTTATCTATACCTTTTCATATGGTTCTTTATCCGTCTGATCAGGCTCCTTGGGCATAATTTTAGGCTTCAAAAAGGGATTTTTGTTTTTATTCTTTTTAGACATTGTACTAAGAAAGAAAAAAATTGGAAAATTGACTCCACATTGGAAAAAACAGAACGTATTTTCTGTGATGGGTAAATGTTGTTTTCCGCACTCCTACACCACCCTTGCTTCAGTTTGTCTCTTCTCACTGTTATAACCTTGTTCTTTTTCTTGTTGGGATTAACTACGTGGCCATTGCCATCATAATGCTGAATTGACTTTACTGTAGGGACTTTACATTTCCCAGTCTAGCAAAATTGACTACTTTTGTTCATTTCAGATTATTTGATTAGT